GATTTGAACTGGTGCTCATATGGGATGCCAGTACTGCAGGCAGTGGCTTTACCTGCTACGCCACAGCGCCAGCCCTTAAAATAGACATTTATTAAATGTTGAATTTTTTGCTTGAAACATTTTAAAATTGTTAATGACTGGCTTTGTGAACTTATATTTTATGTGTATAGCTATAAGATGTTTAGCATTGACAGTTTTGTATAAGATTTAGGCATTAAATAACCTACTGGAGTGGGCATTTGGTCTGCTTAAGCAGCCATTAGGAAACTGGCATCCTACATTGGTGTAACTGGGTTCAAATCCCAGGTCTTGATGCCACCTTCCTGCTAATGTGGACCTGGGGAAAGAGTAATTATGTCTCAGGTATTTGGCTTTCTGCTGCCCACATAGGAAACCTGAACTGTTTTCCCTACACACAACTTTGGCCTGGCCCATCCCTGGGGCACTTTGGGCATTTGGGGAGTTAGCCAGTGGATGGGAGCTCTCTTTGCCTATCTGCTTCTTAAGTAGAAAATTAAAATTTTAAAAAGACTTCTAGTTAACATTTAGATTGTTAATAGTAATGTTAATAGCTAACAGTGATATAGCTCTTTATATGCTAGATACAGTTCTAAAAGCTTTGTATGTATTAACTCAGTTAACTGTGGTAACAACCCTATGGGGTGTGTGATACTTATTATCTTCATTGTACTGGTAAGGAAAACTGAGGAACAGAAGGTTTAAGTGATTTCCTTTTGATACTTGTAAGTATCAAAGCTGGAATTTCAACTAGATGGTCTGCTTATAGATTTCATACTTAGTTTAATAATTAGTTTTATTTTATATATAGATAATGCTGTGGTAGACTTATGTAATCATATCCATCTGTAAGATCATTTCTAGGAGTAGAATTGCTGGGTCACAAGAAAAATTCATGTAAAATTTTGATGGATAGCTCCTGCTAATGTGCCTGGGAAAACAGCAGAAGATGGTCCAAGTGTTTGGGCCTTTGCACCCATGTAGGAAACCAGAAAGAAGCTCCTGGCTCTGACTTTGACCTGGCCTGGCCCTAGCCCTTGTGACCACTTGGGGAGTGAAGCAGCAGATGGAAATCTGCTCTCCCTCTCTTTTTATTTATTTATTTTTAAAAATTTATTTTTATTTATTTGAAAGTCAGAGTTACCAGAGAGAGGAGAGGCAGAGAAAGAGAGGTCTTCCATCTGCTGGTTCACTCCCCAATTGGCCACATGGCTGGAGCTGCGCCACTTCGAAGCCAGGAGCCAGAAACAACTTCTGGGTCTCCCACGTTGGTGCAGGGGCCCAAGGATTTGGGCCTTTTAATGTTTTCCCAGGCCGTAGCAGAGAGCTGGATCAGAAGAGGAGCAGCCGGGAGTAGAACCGGTGCCCATATGGGATGCTGGCACTTTAGGCCAGGGTGTTAACCCTCTGTGCCACAGCGCTGGCTCCTTTCCCTCCCTCTCTTTTTATAACTCCACCTTTCAAATAAATAAATAATGTTAAAAATTTTTTTGATTGCTATTTTTTAGTATCCTACACAATGGTTAATCCTGACTGTGTGCCCTTTGTGCTGTGTGCTCACCAATTTGTTTCTTATCAAATTTTGCATTATTGCTAATCTGAATTTAAAATGCTTATTTAATTAGCATTCTTATGAATTATATGTGAGGTTAAGAATGAATTTTCTGTATTTAAGAGGTATTTTTCTTTGATATCTCCAGTGTATTTGTGCATTTCCATTGTTTACCCTTTATTTTAAAATAAAATGCCTGCACAAAGAAACCCACATGAAATAAATGTAAAGCCTATGAATTACCATAAGGTGAACACCCTTACTTTTATGCAAGTCAATAAGTAAAACTTTGAAATCCCCTTGGAAGCCTCTCCATTTGGGCCATCCCAATCACGTTTTCCTTCCTTTCCTCCTTTCATCCTTCTAAAAGTAATTGGTGTCCTTACTTATGGTAGTCATTTTTTTAGAAATTGTTTTATCGTGTAATTGTTTTATCATTAGTTTGTAGGTACTCATTATACATTAAGGAAATTAGGTCTTTGGTTGTCATATTTATTACAAATATTTTTCCTAAGTTTGTTGGTTTTGAATTTTAACTTTGATGTTGGGATCTTTGTCCATGCAGAATTTTAAACATCTTTATATAAAGATTTCACTTAATTTGGCTTAGATATGCTTTTCCTAATGTAATATTTTAAAAACTTCTTCATCTTTTCTTCTTGTTCTTATTTACGATATTGGGTTTTTTATTTTTTGAAGGAGAGAGGAGGGGTTAAAGATTGACATGTGAATCTAGGCTTATTTCTCTCCTACCCCCTCCCTCAAATTCTATTTAGTTTGTCAAAAAGAATGAGGAGGGGGTCTGGCGCAGTGACTCACTAGGTTAATCTTCTGCCTGCGGCGCTGGCATCCCATATGGGTGCCGGATTCTAGTCCCAGTTGCTCCTCTTCCAGTCCAGCTCTCTGCTGTGGCCCAGGAAGGCAGTGGAGGATGGCCCAAGTGCTTGGGCCCCTGCACCCCCTGGGAGACCAGGAAGAAGCACCTGGCTCCTGGCTTCGGATCGGCAAAGCACTGGCTGTGGTGGCCATTTGGGGGGTGAACCAATGGAAGGAAGACCTTTCTCTCTGTCTCTCTCTCTCTCTCTCTCTCTCTCTCACTGTCTAACTCTGTCAAATAAAAAAAAAAAATGAGGAAGCTCTCTATGGGCTGGTATATACAAAGAGGAAGAAGCAGTGTAATATAAAATATTTGCCCATTTGTATTCTTCATTTGCATTTTCATCTCTGTTATGCCACAGGTCCATGTATATGCAAGTCTGGAATTTCAAGAAAGGGTTTGTGTTGTATTCCATTTTTTAAAAAATATTTATTTATTTATTCGAAAGTCAGAGTTATACAGAGAGAGAGAGAGAGAGACAGACAGACAGACATGGAGGTCTTCCATCTGATGGTTCATTCCTCAGTTCAGGCCAGGGCATTAACCCGCTGTGTCACAGTGCCAGGCCCATTTATTCCATTATTTGATTGTCTGTTCATATACCAGTTCCACACTATGGTAATTAGTATGTTTATATGTAATAAGTTTAATATCTGATAGAGAAAATCCTCCCAACCTATTTTCATGAGGGTCCTGACTGTTTATGGCCCTTTACACTTCCATATACATTTTAGAATTCACTTGTCAAGTGCCACAGAAACAGAAAAAACTTTGAGTATTTTGATTAAAATTTATCAGATAAATTTAGGGGGGATTAGCATCCTTGTAATATTGAGTTTGGGAATGTGATCTATCTTTCCATTTGTGTAGATCTTTATTGATATGTTCTTGATAAAGTAGTATAAAACTTATAAGTCTCTTGTGAATAAAAATATTTTGGGTGGAGTGTTTATTCTGGTTTTGCATTTGATGTTGTAGAGTAAATATCCTAATCATGCTTAACTGCTCTGTCTACCTCCTTAAAATTGTCCAGCTATGAATCCATGTCCCCATATATGCTCCTTGCAGCATTTATGTACAATCTCACAAAATTTTATCTTTCCCCACATTACTTGAAGATTTCTTGCTCCTGGTAGACTGTCGTCCTTTGTAGTATGCATCATAATGTTTAGTGATTTTAAGGTCCTAATAAGTAATCCTTCCAAAATTTATTTCTCTGTCTTGGCCTCCTGCCCTGTAGTGATTTTTATTTCCATCTTGTCTTAGCTACTCATTCATAGGGTTATTTTTTTCACATTGTCTGCAACTATGCTGTTACACTACAGAGAAAATCACACCGGTTTTACTTTAAATTTATGATTTTTAATTTCAGGTGGGCTTGTAATGTTACTTAGTAATCCTACACTAATCTCTCCCATTTCTATTTTGTTCTCTGTTCTTAAATCTCTAATAGTTTCTCCTAATTACCAATGATTGAGAAAGAAGAAGCAATTCACACAGAACTTCCACAAATTCTCACAAACATATCTAGTCATTTACCCGCATCTGCACTCTTAATAATCTGCTGACCCGTCCATTAAAATGTATGTACATTTGTCTTAAGCCAGCCTCTCTACTTATCTATTAGATACCATTCTCCCCTTCTCCTGTATCAGGAATACTTTCTTTTTTTTCTTTCTTTCTTTTTTTTTTTTTTTGATAGGCAGAGTTAGAGAGAGAGAGAGAGAGAGAGAGAGAAAGGTCTTCCTTTACCGTTGGTTCACCCTCCAATGGCTGGTGCGCTGCGGCCGGCGCACCGCGCTGATCCGAAGGCAGGAGTCAGGTGCTTCTCCTGGTCTCCCATGGGGTGCAGGGACCAAGGACTTGGCCATCCTCCACTGCACTCCCGGGCCACAGCAGAGAGCTGGCCTGGAAGAGGGGCAACCGGGACAGAATCCGGTGCCCCGACCGGGACTAGAACCCGGTGTGCTGGCGCTGCAGGCGGAGGATTAACCTATTGAGCTGCGGCGTCGGCCAGGAATACTTTCTTTTTTTACTGTAGTATATAAAGATGTATTTTCTCCCATCTTTAAGAAAATGCCCTCTTAGTCTTATATATCCTTTAGATAATCATCTTATTATTTTCTTTTCTTTTAGAGAAAAAATTTTTTAGAATATTTTAAATACAAGATATATCCAGTTCCTTGCCTCCCATTCTCCTTTGAATTCATGTAATGAGGTTTTCGCTGTTCTACCAAAACTACTCTTATAAAAAGTTAGCAGTAGTCTCAATTTTTATATATATTCTGGTGAAATGATTCCAACTCCAAAACTTGAGCATGAAAGAGTCATTTATTATGCTTATGAATTCTTTAAATTAGGAATCCAGACAAGACACACCACGGACAGCTTTTATCTGCTCTGAAATACCTGAGACTTTGCTAGAAGACTTAAAGTCCTGGGACTGAAACATCAGGACACTTGCTCAGGTGTGTGTGTGTCTGCTTTCTGCTGGGAGCCTCGATTCCTTTCCACATAAGCTTCTTCATGTGGTCTCTTCATGTTGTGTTATTTGGGCTTTTAAATAGCTGGCGGAGTTGCAAAGATGTGATAGCCAGAGCCACGTGTTTGTAAGTTACATTGTGTTTTATGACTTAATCTAAAAAGTTGTGTAGTGGTGTCACTTCCATTGTATTCTATTTATAAAGGTAATCACAAGGTCACATTCAGATTCCAGGGCTTCCAGGCCACAGCAGAGAGCTGGACTGGAAGAGGAGCAACTGGGACTAGAACCCTGCACCCATGTGGGATGCCAGTGCCGCAGGTGGAGGATTAACCGAGTGAGCCACAGCGCTGGCCCAGCTCTGTCTACATTCTTAAAAATGGGCAACTTTGAATCTCATGCCACCAGACTGTGGTGCACCATCTAGCAAGGTTGTTTCTCTTCCCATCATTCTTTGAAGATTTTTAGGTCCTGGATCACTACCCTTTTCAGTATATACTGCCATAATGCTTATTGGTTTTAATATCCTTATAAACATTCCTTCCAGAAAGTTAGGTCCAGACTTTTTTTTTTTTTTTTAGTAGTAATTGACTCCTCTCTTTCATTGACAGTCCATTTACAGACTCTTAAAATTCTGTTGGATCTATCTTGAAAATAAGAGAATTGGGGCTGGCGCCTTGGTGCAGTAGGTTAATCCTCCGTCTGCAGTGCTGGCATCCTATGTGGGTGCCAGTTCCAGTCTTGGCTGCTCCTCTTCCAATCCAGCTCTCTGCTGTGGCCTGGGAAAGCAGTAGAAAATGGCCCAAGTGCTTGGGCCCCTGCACCCGCATGGGAGACCGGGAGGAAGCATCTAGCTCCTGGCTTTGGCTTGTGGCCACTTGGGGAGTGGACCAATGGAAGGATAGACCTTTCTCTCTGTCTCTCCCTCTCACTGTAACTCTACCTCTCAAATAAATAAATAGCATCTTTTTTTTAAAAAGAGAAATGGAAATGTTATTCTGCCTCTGTCATTTTACAGACAGAGAGAGAGAGACAGAGAGAAAGGTCTTTCCTCCATTGGTTCACTCCCCAAATGATCGCAACGGAGGGAGCTACACAGATCAGAAGCCAGGAGCCAGGTGCCTTTTCCTGGTTTCCCATTTGGGTTCAGGGGCCCAAGCACTTGGGCCATCCTCCACTGCCCTCCTGGGCCACAGCAGAGAGCTGGACTGGAAGAGGAGCAACCAGGACTAGAACTGGCGCCCACATGGGATGCCAGCGCTGCAGGCGGAAGATTAACCTAGTGTGCCACGGCGCCGGCCTCTCATTGGTTTTCTTGCTTCTATACTGATTAGCTGTAGCTCACCACAGTTGTACAATTGAAATGTAATTCAAATGATTTCAGTCCTTAAAACTCTCTAATTGCTTGTTATTTCACCCTAAGTCCTTAAAAGAGCTCTCAGAACTCATATTATTTCTCCTTTATTGTCTCTCTGACCTCATGTTCAGCTGTCTCATTTATTTAATCTGTTCTGGTCACATAGGCTGTTTTGCTACTCAAAGATCATGACAACTAAGTCAAATTCCTTTTCCAATGCCTTTGCATTTTCAGAACCTCTGAATGGATTTCTTTCTTTCTATAATCCTGTAGGTCACTCCTTTATGTCCTTCATATCTTTTTACTCATTTGTCTGCTTTTCAGTTACCTTTCATGACCACCTTAATTAATCTATATAATTAATTACATTATCTCTGCCCTAGTACTTCCTGCATTTCTTCCCTGCCTTGCTTTTCTCCATGGAATCTATAAATAGTTTGATATACTATAGTATGTATATGCATTTTATTTTTTGTTTATTATCCATTTTCCTTAACTATAGTAAGCTCCATGGTAGGGAGAGTTTTTGTTCACAGCTATATCCATAGCACCTAGATGTGTTATCTGTGTGACAGTTAATAAGTGTTCAAAATATTTTATTGAATGAATAAATATTTTTATTTTAATTTTTCTTATCAGAGAACTAAGAAAATCACAAAGCACATGTCAGTGAATCAGCAATCTCTCGATCCAGATAGTACAACAGATGTGGAAGTTGTTACAGATACTGAAGAAGAACTTATTAAAGAATGTGAAGAAATGTGGAAAGAAATGGAAGAAGTAAGTATCAAGATAAAATGTTATCAGTTGATATAAGATTCAAATAAAATTCAATAATAGAAATAATAGTTGTGTTAGTTCTCATTTTTTATATATTAAATATTTACCCAGGCAGAAAAGGTCAAAGATAGCTTTCTAAAAGAAGTAATAACTGATTTCATTTCTATTAGAAAATAGGAATTAGCCTGTGGAAGTAGAAGTATACAAAGCAGAAAGAACAAGATTTATAAAGATTGGCAGAATCTAGAGAGCTCTAAGTAGAATATTATAGATATGTAAATTATGGGAAGAAGGATTTTGGGTGAGACTGGAGAGTTAGGGTCAAGAATATGAAGGATTTTTTTCAGTGTGTAATACAGAGAGCCATTAAAGGCTTATAAGCACAGAGGTGACATGATCATGTACACAATTTGTTGGCTTTGAAGAAAATGGAGTAGAGTGAGATTACAGGTAGAAAGAACATTTTAAAAGTTCTACCAGGGCGGGCGCCGCGGCTCAATAGGCTAATCCTCCGCCTGCAGCGCTGGCACACCGGGTTCTAGTCCCGGTTGGGGCACTGGATTCTGTCCCGGTTGCCCCTCTTCCAGTCCAGCTCTCTGCTGTGGCCCAGGAAGGCAGTGGAGGATGGCCCAAGTGCTTGGGCCCTGCACCCCATGGGAGACCGGGAGGAAGCACCTGGCTTCTGGCTACGGATCAGTGTGGTGCGCTGGCTGCAGCGGCCATTGGAGGGTGAACCAACGGTAAAGGAAGACCTTTCTCTCTGTCTCTCTCTCTCACTGTCCACTCTGCCTGTAAAAAAAAAAAGTTCTACCAGTAGTCCTGGTAAAAAGTAATGACGACCTAAATACTGTCATTGCAAATAGAGGTGATTCAAAAGAAGTTAAAGAGATAAGATCAAAAGGACTTATAAGTTAATTAATATGAAATGAGAGTGGATTATCATGGATAGTTTCAAGTTACTTGTTTGAACCGTTGGAGGGTTGTGAGGTATTCCCTAAAATAGTGAATGTAGTATGTCGATAAAGATTTATTCTTAAAGTCATATAAGATGTGTTATTAGCATAGGGTAGTCCTAGAATAGTGCAGATTAGTGGAGTTTTTTCTCTTTTCCTTTTTTTTTTTTTAAATCATTTTTGGAGCCTGCTTTAGTGTAGCAGGCTGAGCCTCTACCTGCGATGTTGGCATCCCATGTGGGTGCCTGTTTGAGTCCCAGCTGCCATGCTATCCATCTACTTCCCTGCTGTTGTACATGGGAGGGTGGCTCAACTACTTGGGCCTCTGTACCCACATGGGAGACCCAGATGAGGCTCCTGACTCCTGACTTTGGTCTGATGCAACCCTGGCCTTGCAGCCATTTGGATGATGAACCAGCAGATGGAAGATTTTCTCTCAGGCTCTCCCTCTTCTAGGAGCTCTGCCTTTCAAATAAATAAAATAAATGTTTTTAAAAAGTCATTTGTTACAGAAATCCTGGGTATTCTATATCTTTGTTTTTGATATAATGTATGTTAACTTTTTTTGCTTTGGGTATTTTATCAATATAGAAATTTGGGTTTAAAAATATTAAAGGGGCCAGCGCCGTGGCTCACTTGGTTAATCTTCCACCTGCAGTGCCGGCGTCCCATATGGGCACTGGGTTCTAGTCCTGGTTGCTCCTCTTCCAGTCCAGCTCTCTGCTGTGGCCCAGGAGGGCAGTGGAGGATGGCCCAAGTGCTTGGGCCCTTACACCTGCATGAGAGACCAGGAGGAAGCACCTGGCTCCTGGCTTTGGATCGGTGCAATGCACCTGCCGTGGCAGCCATTTGGGGGGTAAGCCAACGGAAGGAAGACCTTTCTCTCTGTCTGTCTGTCTCTCTCTCTCTCTCACTGTCTAACTCTGCCTGTCAAAAAAAAATTAAAAATTTTTTATTGAAAAATATTGCAACTAGACTAAAACAGATAAAATTCAAATTATCAATATTTTTACCTTTCAGAAATAATCATTATTAATATCTTTGGAATTTATTTTAATGGCACAGAAGCAGTGCCTCTTTGAGGCATTATTCTCTTACGATCTTAATTATCTTATTCTTTTTTTTTAATATTTTATTTATTTGAGCAGTAATTACAGGCGGAGAGAAGAGAAACAGAGAGAAAGATCTTTCATCTGCTGGTTCACTCCCTAAATGGCCCCAACAACCAAAGTTGGGTCAATCTGAAGCCAGGAATTAGGAGCTTGTTCTCAGTTTCCCATGCAGGTGCAGGAGCCCAGGCACTTGGGCTGTATTGTACTGCTTTTCCAGGCCACAAGCAGAGAGCTGGATCAAAAGAGCAGTTGGGACATGAACCAGAGCCCATATGGGATGCCAGTGTTGCAGGCAAGGGCTTACCCTTGTACACCACAGTGGCAGTCCCTATCATTATTTTCTATTTTGCCATTTTTATATATTTCTTTCCCTTTCAATATCTTTGTCTTCCATTTTTTCTACTCTGTCTTCTAACTCATCATAGCTATTAGTTTTTGTTTTTTTTCCTTCATTTTGTCATCCCTTTTTTCTTCTGATATGTTCTCTTTGCAACCTGTTGGACTGTTTTCTGGTACTCTTGCTTACAAAGAATATAAACAAACTCTTTTCTTAAATGTTTGACTACTATTTTAGAGGAACATTACATTGGACTGCTACAAAGGTGAGGAGAGAAAATTGTCTCTGAGTTATATATGCAATGGGGAGGGGAAGGAAATTGTGAGTCCTAACAATATTGTTTTTCTTTATTTTTTAAATCAAGTGTCAGAATAAATTATCACTTATTGGAACTGAGACACTCACTGATTCAAATGCTCAGGTATGAATATTTTTTCTTCCTAAGTTAAGTAGAATTCATTGTTTTTAGAAAAGAACTGTTTCTGTCTATATTTATCCCAATATAAAAGCTTTGTTAATATTGAAATGCTTCATCATTTGGAAAATTCCCTGTTTCTGATTTAAGAGTTAGAAGAAATATTCTAAAAAGTTTTTAGAACAAGCTATCAGTAGAGAGCATTTTCTTTATTATTTGTCTTTTAACATACATACATTTAACACAGATGTGAATTGCTTATTCTTTGCTATTATGTTAAAATTTAGAGCAAGATGACCCTACTTTATAGTAGATATAATAGCCGTCCATGCTTTACTATCTATAGAATCTGTTTTTTAAATTTTCTTTTCATATCTATCTTTAGTATTTTTCCCAGAAACCTTTTATAAAAGGTATAAAAACTTCATGCTTTTCATAAATACAACTTTAGAAATATAGTGATTCTTCCTACCCTACCTGCAGTGCCACCATTCTTCCTCTTCACTTTTCGTATTCTTATTTTTTACTAAGATCTATTTTCAAATAAGATTAGCTCTATACTAGAGTTCAACAAAGAGTATGAAAAACAAAGCTGTTCCTCAACAATCCAGACAAGTTCTGTTGTAACACATTGCATCTTGAAGTATCACTTTCATTTCTATAGATTACTTTTTAGATACTTTATAAGTTACCACAGGTTAGAGAGAACATATGGTATTTGTCCTTCTGGAACTGGCTTATTTCACTAAGTATAATGGTTTCCAGTTGCATCCATTTTTTTGCAAACAACAGGACTTCATTTTTTGTTTTTACTGCTGTGTAGTATCCCATGGTATACATATCCCATAATTTTTTTTTTTTTTTTTTTTTTTTTTTTTTTTTTTTTACAGGCAGAGTGGACAGTGAGAGAGAAAAATAGAGAGAAAGGTCTTTCTTTGCCGTTGGTTCACCCTCCAATGGCCGCCGCGGCTGGTGCGCTGCGGCCGGCGCACCGCGCTGATCCGAAGGCAGGAGCCAGGTGCTTCTCCTGGTCTCCCATGGGGTGCGGGGCCCAAGCACTTGGGCCATCCTCTACTGCACTCCCAGGCCATAGCAGAGAGCTGGCCTGGAAGAGGGGCAACCGGGACAGAATCCGGCGCCCCGATTGGGACTAGAACCCGGTGTGCTGGCGCCGCTAGGTGGAGGATTAGCCTATTGAGCCGTGGCGCCGGCCCCCATAATTTCTTTATCACGTCTAAGTAGATGGACATTTGGGTTGATTCCTTATCTTAGCAATTATGAATTGAGCTGCAAGAAACATGGGGTATAGGTAACTTTCATACGCTGATTTCATTTGCTTTGGGTAAATTCCCAGGTGTGGGATGGCTCAATCATATGATAGGTCTGTGTTCAGATTGCTGAAGTATCTCCATGCAGTCTTCCACAATGGCTGTACCAGTTTACATTCCCACCAACAGTGTATTAGGGTACCTTTTTACCCACATTCTTGCCAGCATTTGTTCTTTGTTGATTTTGGTATGAAAGCCATTGTACTGGGGATGAGGTGAAATCTCATTATGGTTTTGATTTACATTTCCTTGATGGCTAGAGATCCTGAGCATTTTTTCATGTGCTGTTGGCCACTTGGATTTCCTCTTTTAAAAAATGTCTGTTTATGTCCTTTGTTCATTCCTAACTGGGTTGTTTTTTTTTTCTTGTTTTGACAGGCAGAGTGAACAGTGAGAGAGAGAGAGACAGAGAGAAAGGTCTTCCTTTGCTGTTGGTTCACCCTCCAATGGCTACCGTGGCCGGCGCATCGCGCTGATCCGAAGCCAGGAACCAGGTGCTTCTCCTGGTCTCCCATATGGGTGCAGGGCCCAAGGACTTGGCCCATCCTCCATTGTACTCCTAGGCCATAGCAGAGAGCTGGCCTGGAAGTGGGGTAACCGGGACAGAATCTGGCGCCCTGATCGGGACTAGAATCCTCCGGTGTGCTGGCGCTGCAGGTGGAGGATTAGCCTATTGAGCTGCGGTGCCAGGCTCTTGAGCTTTTTATATAGTCTGATTATTAATTCTTTATCAGTTGTGCAGTTTGCAAATAATTTCTTCTATTATGCCAGTTGCCTCTTCACTTTATTGAATATTTCTTTTATAGTTCAGAAGCTTTCCAATTTGATATAATCCAACTTGTCAATTTTGGCTTAGATTGCCTATGCCATTGGGGTCTTTTCCAAGAACTCTGCCTATGCCAATGTCTTGCAGGATTCCCCCAATGTTCTCTAATAATTTAATGGTATTGGGTCATAGATTTAGGTCTCTGATCGATTTTGAGTGGATTTTTGTGTAAGGTGAAAGGTAGGGGTCTTGCTTCGTACTTATGCATGTGAAAATCCTGTTTTCCTAGAACCATTTATTGAGATACTACTCCAGGGATTGATTTTAGCTCCTTTGTCAAAGATAATTTGGTTGTAGATGCGTGGGTTGATTTCCGGCATTTCTATTCAGTTTTATTGTTCTATCAGTCTGTTTTTGTACTAGTACCAGGCTGTTTTGATTATAACTATCCTGTAGTATGTCTTGAAATCTGTTTTTTTTTTTTTGTTGTATGTGTCCAGGAATCTATCCATTTCTTCTGGGTTTCCTGATTTGTTGGCATATAGCTCTTTGTGGTAATTTCTGATGATTTTTTTTATTTCTGTCGTATCTGTTGTTAATTTCCTTTTTCATCTCTGATTTTATTGATTTTGGTTTGCTACTTCATTTTTTTGATAAGTTGGACCAATGGTGTGTTAATTTTGTTTATTTTTTCAAAAACCCAGCCTTTTTGCTGATCTTTTGTAGTTTTTGTTTCAATTTTGCTGATTTCTTCTCTAATTATTTCTTTTCTCTACTAGTTTTGGATTTGGTTTGCTTTTGTTTTTCTAGGTCCTTTAGATGCATTGATCATTCATTTATTTGATGCCTTTGTAATTTGTTCATGTAGGCACCAGTTGCTATAAACTTTCCTGTTAACACTGCTTTTGCTGTATCCCATAAATTTTGATATGTTGTATTGCCAGCTTCATTCGTTTCCAGAAATTTTTTGATATCTCTTTTGATTTCTTCAATGACTCACTGTTCATTTAGGAGCATGTTGGTTAGTCTCTATGTGTTTACATATGTTCTATATTGAGTTGTTGCTTTCTAGCTTCATTTCATTGTGGTCATGGAAGATGCATGGTATGATTTTGATTTTTTTTTTTTTTTTGACAGGCAGAGTGGACAGTGAGAGAGAGACACAGAGAGAAAGGTCTTCCTTTGCCGTTGGTTCACCCTCCAACGGCCGCCGCGGCCAGCGCGCTGCGGCCGGCGCACCGCGCTGATCTGATGGCAGGAGCCAGGAGCCAGGTGCTTTTCCTGGTCTCCCATGGTGTGCAGGGCCCAAGCACCTGGGCCATCCTCCACTGCACTCCCTGGCCACAGCAGAGAGCTGGCCTGGAAGAGGGGCAACCGGGACAGAATCCGGTGCCCCAACCGGGACTAGAACCTGGTGTGCCGGCGCCGCTAGGCGGAGGATTAGCCTAGTGAGCCGCGGCGCCGGGTCTGATTTTGATTTGATTGAATTTGCTGAGACTTGCTTTAAGGACTAGCATGTAGGGCGGCGCCGCAGCTCAGTAGGCTAATCCTCCGCCTTGAGGCGCTGGCACACCGGGTTCTATCCTGGTTGGGGCACTGGATTCTGTCCCGGTTGCCCCTCTTCCAGGCCAGCTCTCTGCTGTGGCCAGGGAGTTTAGTGGAGGATGGCCCAAGTGCTTGGGCCCTGCACCCCATGGGAGACCAGGATAAGCTCCTGGCTCCTGGCTTCAGATCAGCGTGGTGCGCTGGCCGCAGCGCGCCAGCCGTGGCGGCCATTGGAGGGTGAACCAACGGCAAAGGAAGACCTTTCTCTCTGTCTCTCTCTCTCACTGTCCACTCTGCCTGTAAAAAAAAAAAGGACTAGCATGTAGTCCATGCTAGAGAAAGCTCCATGCACTGGTGAGAAGAATGTATATTCTGCAACTGTAGGATGAAAAATTCTGTAGCTATACATTAAATCCATTTAGTCTATAGTGTTGATTAATTCTGTTGTTTCTTTTTCTGGTTTTCTGTCTGGTTGATTGTTCTTTGCTGAAAATGGAGTATTGAAGTCCCCTATTACTATTGTATTGGAGTCTATGACTCCTTTTAGATCCATTAAAATTTCTTTTTTTTTAAAGATTTATTTATTTATTTGAAAGGCAGAGTTACACAGAGAAAGAAGGAGAGGCAGGGAGAGAGAGAGAGAGAGGTCTTCCATCCACTGGTTCACTCCTGAGTTGGCTGCAACAGCTGGAGCTACGCCGATCCAAAGCCAGGAGCCAAGTGCTTCTTCCAGGTCTCCCATGTGGGTGCAGGGACCCAAGGACTTGGCCCATTTTCTGCTGCTTTCCCAGGCCATAGCAGAGAGCTGGAATGGAAGAGGAGCAGCAGGGACTCGAATTGGTGCCCATATGGGATGCTGGCACAGCAGATGGTGGCTTTACTTGCTAGGCCATAGCACCAGCCCCTAACATTTCTTTTAATAACGTGTGTCCTTTTGTATGTGCATATACATTTACAAAAGTCATATCTTTTGAACTGATCCCTTAATCATTTCATAGTGTCTTTCTTTGTCTCTTTTAATAGTTTTTGTATTAAAGTCCAGTTTGTCTGATATCAAGATGGCTGTGCTTGCTTCGGCAGCACGTATACTGATGTTAAGATGGCTACACCAGCTCTTTTTTGCTTTCTGTTACTATGAACATCTTTTTCTATCCTTTCACTTTCATTCTGTGTGTTTCTTTGGTGAGATGTGTTTTTGTAGGCAGCAAATAGATGGGTTTTGTTTTTGAATCCATTGAGCCAATGTGTCTTTTAACTGGAGAGTTTAGGCCATTTACATTCAAGGTGACTAATGATAAGTCATGAATTGGCCCTGCTATTTTTCTATTTCCATAAATATTCCCATATTTCCTCTGTGCTTTTACTGG